GGGGGGGGGGGGTCAGTTCAGGCCCACTTTGGCCTTCTCTGCAGAGGAATTCATCACCAAACTGTCTAGATAAAGCTTTGTACCTGCCAAGGTTGATGCTGCAAATGTGAGCTCTGGCTGTCTGAGTTCAATCATGGCATTACTGTGCATTTTTCCTCAGAGTGCATTTGCATAAATACCTGAATAGTATTACATTTTGTGTTTAATAGCTAAATCTTATTCCACCAGAGGATTGTGGAAATATCTTGAACAAGTTTGTTAAACTATACTAAGTAACCTTGTATGAGTACAACTTCTGAGTTTGAATACTTCTCCCTCATCACCGCAGTTATCAAACAAACTTTGGTTTAGCTGGTATTTATTGAGCCTCAGGCAAGTACTAGATGCTGGAGAAGGCAGTGATGAATGAGTCAGATCTAGGGCTGCCCTCACAGAGCTTCTAGTCTAGAAAGGAAAATAAAGCATTTGCATAAATAATTGTAATAGAAGTGTTAAAGGCAAAGCAGAAAAAGGACTGTGATTGTTGGAAAAATGGATGTTTCTTCCAGTTGAGGGATCAAGGAGGGACATCATCATGGAGTTTTACACTGCTCTTTAAATCTCTACTTTTATATCTTAGTCTGTTCTGACATACTCAGTAAAAGTTTCTACAAGTCCATCACATCAAAGATCAGAGTCTTCTGCCTATTGAAAGGAAATATGTACATTCCAGCAAGCTTAACTCTTGAAGAGGCTGACATGCTTTCTTTGGAGTCCCCATTCAGGCAAAAGCCACCTCCCAAGATTGAATTATTGCCTCATAAATGTAAAATGCTTTCTGCTGTGATATGTTTGTAAAGGCCTTTGACCCTTTTGTCTCCCTTCCATAACAGAAACTGAAATACCTAAGCTGCTACAGGCTCATTTCTTTTGCTTCATAAATCTTTTCCCACTGCACTTCAACTCCTGTCAGTTCTCCCTTTGTCACTCTCATCTGTCCCCTTCCATTTACACTGCCTTAAAACATTTATTTTGTGCCTAGACCACAGAAACCTCCGGATGAGATAGATGTTCTCACCAGATGATTGACTTTATTGCTTTGTCAGCACACCCTAACTGTAGTAATCTGATAGTTTAAGGGCTCACCTTTTGGTCCGAAGAAAAGAGGTATTAAAAATGACTAGTGTCTGAAGTACTAATGTCTGTTTCCTATTCAATACAGAGGACAAGTCATACAATGGTGGAGGAATAGGTACTTCAAATAGGATGATGGATTTCTTGGAGGAGCCAATCCCTGGTGTGGGGACCTATGATGATTTCAATACAATTGACTGGGTGAGAGAGAAGTCTCGAGACCGGGATAGGCACCGAGAGGTAAGGCGAAAAATGGTACATGAGTAAGTGTTAGGAAACACCAGGGGAAGAAGTTGAAGATATATATTCTTTATATGTATTCTTTCCTTCTGCCCTAGATGTGGTTGAATTTGGTTTCTATTGGCAATGTAGAGTTTTATTTTTAATTTATTTTTATTTTTAAAGTATCTTTATATGATTTTGAAAAGAATTTCTATTTAATGATGATTTATCTTTCTAGATTAAGTGGTTGAGAAGGGTTCTTGCAGCCTGACATGGGTATAAATACCTACACAGACAGGTGAAGCAAACTTGGTGGGAGTGACCAAAATAAATTTCAAAGATACTCCTTCCCACTTCATCTCCCTTTTATGGCTTTCCCTTGAAGCAGGATTTTTAGAACCAAGAAAAGTAAATGGGCTTCTTTTAAAAGAATAAAAGAAAAAAATCTCAGAGCCCTAGTGTTTACTGAAGCATACAAGATAAATTTTTTGTGATTATGGCTTTTGTACAACCATAGAACCAAAGTAAATTTATGTATTCAGCTTGAACAAAACCACAAGACCAATCAAATTCAAATTAAGGACATTGATTTAACATGATAGGTAGTTGGTACTTATGGATATGGCACAGATTCTTGTGAATATGACAAGAGAATTTCTCCACTTTTCAAAGTACGGTGAAAACTTTTCAGAGCAGTCCACCAAGGTCATTTGCCTTGAACTTATTGCTATGTATCATTTAAGTGAGGAAATCATAATTTCTAGTTAATGTCAGGAGCACATGGAGAGCTTATTAATAAGGTAGGCCCCAGCCCCAGTGACCCTGATTCAGTAGGTGATCTTCTGTGGAGACATTTCTTCAACCAATGGTAGGTATTATTTTTTCTTTCTTACTATTTCTGCTTTGACTCCAAATTTAAATTTTTAAGCTGATCCCATTGTGTCCTGAATTCATAATTTCTTTCCTAAGAGCCAAGTAAATCTCCTGAACAGATCACTTTTCATTCTTAAGCCTTTCCTTGCTCCTGACTGATTTTCTCATGACCACCTGAACCCAGGAGTCAGGTTGTCTCAGGTACAGGTTTTGAGAAATTCCTTTGTAATGCTTGGATTTGTGATAATCCCACTGAGTTTTCTTATCCTAACTTAAAAAGGTGATCTCTACAAAACATTCTGTTTTTCAAAGGTTTCTGATATTTGGGAACACAAACATATTCTATTTATTTTATCAATTCATCAGGCAGGTTTTAAAATTTGAAATTGTATGGCTTTTGAATTTCTGCTCTCTGTAATTCAGAGTTCAGTTTGTCATCAGTTGCATATTCAATGTTATGCAAAATTCACCTGTGATATGACAAGGGCATATTCCCCATTATATTAAAATGGTTGTATCGGATACAAATTATGCCAATTAATAGTAATTCAAAATCAATTAAAATATGTTTATCAAATGTTCAAAGGAGACTTTTTAGCACTGACTGTTCATCCTCAGAATGGAAACACTATCACAGGGAAAAATGTTACCTCATCTACTTTCACCACTGAACTGGAAACTTGAAGTTATAGGTCAAAATGAAAACTTTAACTGCTTTAAAATTTTTTTACAATAATTTATTATAGTTATTTGTGATGTTGCTATAGATAAAAATGGAGTGTCTAAGTCATAATTTCAAAGAAAAGAAATAGAGATACGAGAAGGGGAAATACCAATGACAATGCTGTCAGAATTCTTGGTTTTGAAATGTGGGCACTGAAGGGTTAAACTGACAAGACTAGGACCTAAAAGGTAAAACTTTCTGTACCTGTTGATAGCCTCAGATATTCCCAGTACATTTTTGAAAATAAAGAGATGCATTCCTAATATCATTTAGTATCTATGATCAATGTACAATTAGGGGTTTGTGGGATCAAGTCTTGAAATTTGCCTAACCTGAAGCACAGCTCTGGATAGTACACCTCAAATTGTACTTTCACCACTCAAATAAGCTTATGTTTGTTTGTTCTTTGAAAAACAATCAAACTAGTTTCTGTGAGTCAGGAGACCATCCTTAAAATATCTGATGTCTAGGGCAGAAAGAGATCACTTCAGTAAGCAAAACAGATCGATGCTTTAAGAAATCAGTAGCTGAATGGGGAAGGCTTGAATAAGATACTTGCAGGCATTGTAATATTGTAGATGAAGGTGGGGATCAGCAGTCAAGCTTCAATAAATCTCTAAGTTCTTGGTTACGTTGGGTCAGCCAAAGATTATTTAATAAGTAACTACAAATTGGTCTCTATTCCCAATAAGTATATTTGTCTTTGTGTTTCTTTACTGTGTTGCTCATTTGGAGGTGAAAAAGCAATGGCGTGTGTTGAATGTACTAATGTTTTCTCATTTCTTCTTAGATTACCAATAAAAGCAAAGAGTCAACATGGGCCTTAATTCACAGTGTGAGTGATGCTTTTTCTGGCTGGTTATTGATGCTACTTATTGGGCTTTTATCAGGTATGGTAAACTCTGTTAGTTTTCTAAACAAATCTCCCCAAATTATGGTATGCCCCTCCCCTAAGTCATGACCTGAGTTGAGTGCTGTGCTTTATGATTTTCTTACATGAAATAAATTGGTGATGGACCTTTTGGAAATTCATGTCTCCAGAGTAAAGGGATGCTAATACCTGCATCTCCTTCTGTAAATAAATGATGTTAAATGAGGAATTACATTTAAATGCATTTGTATGCCATAAAATGATATATTCATTTTAAGGTGCTGTTAGCACTTCCTTTCAGTGCTTGTCTTAATGAAGAGCCCTTCTATTGAAAGCAGTCAGGTTTTTTTAAAACACATACTACATGGGGTTTAGGAGAGATGTAGAAGAGGACTTCCTGAGACATTTTTGTAGCTATTTCTTAAGCATCTATTCTCTCAACTAGGGATAAAGAAAAGCATTTAAGATATGGCTCATATCCTGAAGGAGTTTACTGTCTCATTCTTTCATGATGGCTGAGGAGTAGGCTGCTACCACCTTTCCGTATCATCTCCATCAACCTCTCAAGCCGCTGCAAATAATATATGATCTAACTTGGAATATTACACTTGCTATATAAATACAGCTTTTTAAAATATACATATATATATCTTTATTGATTTCAGAGAGGGGAAGGGAGAGAGAGAGAGAGATAAACGTCAATGATGAGAGAGTCATAGATTGGCTGCCTCCTGCACACCCCCACTGGGGATTGAGCCCTCAACCCCGGCACATGCCCTGACGGGGAATTGAACCACAATCTCCTGGATCATAGGTTGATGCTCAACCGCTGAGCCACACCCGGCCGGGCATGTAAATACAGCTTTAAAGCAAGTTCTCAAGCAGGCTTTCCCTCCCATGGAGAAAGCAGAAAGCCAAGAATACCTAGCAGAGATGCTAAGAGTTGTAGCATTATGGGATTAAAAGATGGGTGTAAGAAGATCTGGAATATTAAGCTAAAATAGAAGTTTGGTGGGAAACCTGGAGGTGGATGAGATGAGATAGCAATTAACAGCATAGTCTCTAGTTTGTGGCTGCCTGGATTTGAACCCAAACCCTACTACATTCTAGTTTTATGACTTTTGACAAGTTTCAGCTATAATTTACTGATCTATAAAGTAGAGATAATGAGTACCTATTATTGCACATTTGTTGTGAAGATTAAATGAGATAGAAGACATATAACACTCAACATAGTGCCTAGTTGTTAATGGTGCTTCAGCTGCTGTTATCTAGAGATAATTAATAAGCCATGGAGTGTAAGATTATTGCTGCAATGAGGAATGGCTTATCCATAGCTGGCTTTTTGAAGATGATCGAGGACAGGGGTCAGCAAATGTTTTCTCTAAACGACCAGATAGTAAATATTTTAGGGTTTGTGGGCCAAATGGTTTCTGTAGCATGAAAACAGACATTAGGTAAACAAATGAGTAGGGCTGTGACCAAGAAAAACTTCATTTGCAAACACAGAGGCAGATTTGACCCTTGGACCATAGTTTGTCAACTTGTGGTCTAGGGTGTTAATGGTGCCTCTTCTGCCTTGTGCAGGAGAGAGAACATGGTCTGACCAGTTTAGAGCTGGCTAATGATATACTGAGTGGTCTGTAGTCCCAAGTATTGCAGAGATGCTGAAGAGAAGGAAGAGGGCTGAGAAAAGATTATATAGTTTAGCAGTTAGAAGAATAACAATGACCTTGAAAAACCATCTCAGGCAAATATTAGGGGCCAGAGCTCAAGGGGAGGCAAGCACTATGGAAATTTTAGAGATATTTGGTGTTCATTAGAAGTAGAGGAGGGACAAAAGCTTGAAGTGGTAACAAGGACAAGGGGAAGCATTTTATTCTTCAGAGTAGGGGAAACCTGATGAAATTTGTAACAAGGGAAGAAGGAGCCAATTGGGAAAAAAAGAAGTAGAAGGGAAGATAGCATAGAGGGTACCTGTGTTAGATAGGAGAAGACATGCATGTATGAAACAATTAGAGAACAAGCCAAACTCTATAACATCATGTTAACTTTCGGAATCCAGGCAATAAGTGAAATAAGAGTAGGAAGGAAGAGAAGGTGGGGACTAGAGTAGCCAAGAGTAGGTATCAAACTGTGTTAGATTTGACTAGGTTATTCAAGTATGTAAATAACTTGTGTTAACACTTTTAGTGCCTACCAAAACATACACATGACATGGCCTGTTGGAATGTGAACATAATATCCACAAACTTTTAATGTATTTCTTGTCACTAGGTGGTCAGAGAATATTTTTCTTTCCCTCATACACACAGGGTATTTTGTTTTTAAGCATTAGAGAGCTACAATGGAAGCAGTGTGTCTGAATGCAGGAACAGTCTGGGGATTCAGGGGCTGTGAATTTTATGATGTCTTTCCTATTTCCCTAAAGCACTATTCTAGACCATTTAATTTCTTTATGCCAGAATTTCTTCGTATGGATGACAGAAGTGATGAGAAGGCCAGAACTGAAAGTACTATAATTATCTTAACCCTATCAGTCTATTAGCCAAAGTGCCTAAGTCCCCATTCATCATTTACTTTCTTACACTTTTCTTTGATGAATGTTATGTATATAATATTGTTTGCTCTTCTCACTAAGAAAACTTCAGAGTATTTATGTCCTAGGCTCAGGAGGCTTCAACATATCCACAGCTTCATATAACCTTCCATGTGCATCACAGTCTGTGCTTTTATTTTTTTATTTCTTTTAAAGGAGACGGTCACTTTATTTATTTATTTTTTATATATATCTTTATTGATTTCAGAGAGAGGAAAGGAGAGGGAGAGAGAGATAGAAACATCAATGATGAGAGAGTCATTGATCGAGCCCGTAACCAGGGCATGTGCCCTGACCGGGAATCGAACCCCGATCCCCTGGATCCTAGGTCGACGCTCAGCTGCTGAGCCACACCCGGCCAGGCAAGTGCTTTTATAAATTCAGCTCCCTTAGCCTAGAATGCCTTCCTGCCATTGTTCAAATTGCCTTGTCCATGGAACAAAATCACAAGACTGAGCCCTTCACCCCATTGTGTTCATCAGCTCCCCTCCCCAAACCATCTCAAATAAGATATCATATCATATTCTTCAATATGGTCAATGCAAGTTTTCTCAATCTTCCTTATATAGTGAGAATAAAATAATCTTTAATAAACTTGACTGTCTTTATAGGTCAGTATTCATCGACTCTAAGTCAAAGCCGAATCTTTCTACGTAAATCAGCTAAAGGTCAAATCTATTCACTCCTTGTTCCCACCCAACCACTTTGCTCTCCCTTAAGTTTTCCCTATATAGAAATTCTACATACACAGTATTTAATGTTTTATTTTGTTTTCCCCTCATGAACAGGCATTTAATAATAGATGACATCTATTAGAGGTAATAGGTAAAAATCAAGCAATCAGAAAGAAGCTGCAGATGGAATGGGAAAAAGTATATACTTGTCCATTATTTTTATCCCTTTCCCCTCCTTTTCTCTAACAATTTTCGCCCTTTTTCCCCTCCCCTCAAATCAGGTTCCTTAGCTGGCTTGATAGACATCTCTGCTCATTGGATGACAGACTTAAAAGAAGGTATATGCACAGAAGGATTGTGGTTTAACCATGAACACTGTTGCTGGGACTCTGACCATGTCACCTTTGAAGACAAAGACAAATGCCCAAAGTGGAATAGCTGGTCCCAGCTTCTCATCAGCACAGATGAGGTAACATGTAGTGAAGATTTGGGAACCACTGACTTTTATTCTTACATTTCCTTCATTTCTTACACTGTGCTCATGGCAATTGTGGACTCTCCCCTTGTTTTCCTTTTCATGAAAAGGGTAACCAGTGACAGCTGCCTTTTTCTGTGATTTAAGTGCAGCCCAATTCCCATCTCTTCCGGCATGTAGAATTGTTTGATGCTTACACAATGACAACATTTTTGCTTGTTTTAAACAAAAGTGGTGTTTTTTCTTAGTTTTAGTATACCGTGCGACTGAATCTATCTTTCTTTAATAATTTCAGTAGAAATGCTAGAGTAAGCTACAATTTCTAACAAAGGATTGAGTGAGTTAAAAATATGTTTATTGTATAGATTCCAAAAGTAATTTTCCCCTGAGCATTACATTAGAACATTTAAAAAATTATGATTTTTTAAATTGCTCAAAATGCTCTAATGACACCCTGTATCATTATAAGTAAAAACCTAAGTTCTGAATATGAAAAAAAATTATGATACATTCCATATCAAAACAACAGAAACCCAGGAATAAAATTGCTCCATTCCCATTTTAAGATTAAATCAGTAGTTTTATTTGTCCTTGTCTGCTGGCCTATATTTTTCAATGCATAATTAACTTTGTTTTGCAGTTCCTTACCAGTTGGTTGTAAGTTAGATCTTTCCTACTAAAAGCAAAAACACAAAATAAAACAGAACGAAGCAACTCTTAATCTCTAATTCCACTCTGACTTCTACCAACTAAAACAGGTATCATTTCAACTCACTACTCATCCACTGTGTTGGTGAAGTGAGGGGAATAAGACTAGGATGTATGTTTGTATATTTATTTAAAAATATTTTTGTTGTTTTCAGAGAGAGGAAGAGAGAAGGAGAGAGAGAGAGAAACATCAATGATGAGAGTCATTGATCAGCTGCCTCCTGCATGCCCTGCACTGGGGATCGAGCCTGCAACCCCAGGCATGTGCCCTGACCGGGAATCAAACTGTGACCTCCTGGTTCATAGGTGGACACTCAACCACTGACCCACACTGGCTGGGCTATGTTTGTACTTTTAAAATTTATTTTAACACCTACTTTGGTCCACATTTGAAAGGGTGCGCACACACAAGCACACAAGCATACACACACACAGAATCAGTCAAGGGAAAAGAAGGGTAGGAAAATAATAAAGTCAGAAATAACAGTGTTTATGTACATATTTGACTGTGCATATTTTGGTTCGGGGAAAGTGTTCAATACATATGTACTATGTGTATGAGGGGGTTTAAGTCTGTGCTTCTCAAACTGGGGTCAGCATGCCACAAGGTAGGTGAAACCACAGGGTAAATGCTATGTGCCTTCCCAGAATATCAGTTTTTCCTAAATATTTGGAACATTTTTTTCTCAAAAATTAAATGTAAAGAATCATTAAAAAGAAATGCAAAATCCCCATGTTTGTTAAGATAAAACATAATCTCTTCCATTTCTGCTCCTGGGTACCCCCATCTCCTACCCTGATGTTTCTATTTACTCTCCTAGATTAGGAGTACTTGGGTAGAAAAATTTGAGAAGCCCTGGAACTTAGGGTGAGTCTGTGTGTGTGTGTGTGTGTCTTTTGCATGTGTGATTCCCTTGCTTTTTAAAAATATTTTATTTTTAAAGTAATTATAGATTCACAGGAAGTTGGAAAACAGTGTACAGGGAGGTCTCCCCTACCATTCACTCAACCTGCCCCAATGCTAACATCTTATATAACTATAGCACAATAGCAAAACAAGGAATTGACAATGGTACAATCCACAGACCTTATTTCGCCTGTTTTACATGCATAGATGTGTGTGTGTGTGTGTATAGGTCCATGAAATTTTATTACATGTACAGATTTGTGTAACCACTACCACAATCAAGATATAGAACTATTGTTGCATCACCACAAGGCTCCTCTCTGCTTCCCCTTTATAGCTGTGTGTGTAAGTGTTCCAACCATAACTTTCAAACTAGAGCTTGAGATTTGTCAAGTGACAAATTTCTCTGGCTCTCCTTTTTATGAACAAAATCCTTGCCAGAGGAAAGAGTCTTCTGGGTTTTAAGAAGAGTTCTCCTGCCAAGAACTTGGCCTCCTGGTCTCTGCCTCTAGCCAGTTTCAGCTATGTTCCCTTTCACTCCTTTTCTCCCTTTGTTTCCAATATCTGGAGTATTCTTCCTGAGCTACATTCCAAAGGCAAAGAGAGAGCAATTATCTGTTTCTCTGAGGGAGTAAGATAATGGAAAACCTGAGTCAAAGTTATAACTCAGAAAAAACCTGGACATTTTGGTTTTCTTTGTCTAGGTCAGCAAATTATTTTAATAGTGTTTTATGTTTTAAAAAGTCAAAAGTTCATTGAGTTTTGTGTCTCATGTAATTCGAATGGGTTTCAAGTTCTAATATTTCTATCAGCAAGCATAATCTAATATTCAAAATAGATTGGTGTTTGTTTGTTTGTTGGTAAGACATAACTATTTGCAAGCCCTTTAATGTTGGTGAATCCTTATTGGTGGTTAAAATTAGATTTTTTCCTCTGAGACTTTGTTATCATAGGGGTAGTCTCAAAAGTATATTATCTCCATTCTATTTTCTCCATTTAAAAAATTCCTATTGCCATTTTATTCTTTGGGACATCTGGCATTTCACTGGTTTTCTTTCGTTGTCAGAACCTGGAACTTTCTACTGCATAAACTTGTTGCTAAATCTGTGGTAGCAAAATTCTCTCAAAGTTGTGATTGTTTTCTACAGAACATAATTGTGTATTTTAAGAAAAACACCCAAGAATTTTAGACACTATAACCTCCTATGGGAATTTAACTCCAAGGCAGGTAGCCAAAGGTGAATTTAATGAAACCCTAGAGCCAACCTTCACTTCAAATGTGTGGCCAAGGTTCAGTCATCCAATAAAAGGGCTGTTAATAGTATCATATACAGTTGACCCTTGAACAACATGGGTTTGAACTGTGCAGGTCCGCTATACACAGATTTTTTTCAATCCTAAATATAATCGGCCCTTTGTATTCTCCTTTGTGGATTCAACCAACATGGATTCAACCAACCACAGATGGAACACAGTATTTTCATATTACTACCTGTGGTTTCTTAACTTCAGATCAAAGATAAATTTTGATCTGCTCTTGGTTGAGTCTGTGGATGCCAAGGGCCGACTTTAGTTAAGTTTTTGGGGAATCTAAAGAACAAAATAAACAAAATAGAAAATAGACTCACAGATACAGAGAACAGACTGATGGTTGCCAGAGCGGTTATGGGGATGGGTGAAAACATTGAAAGGATTAAGAAGTACAAATTGGTAGTTACAGAATAGTCAGAAGGATGGAAATTACAGCATAGAGAATATATTCAATAATATTGTAATAATTATGTATGGGGCCAGGTGGGTAATTGAAATATCAGGGGATCACTTTGTAAAGTATATGATTGTGTAACCACTGTGCTATATACCTGAAACTAATACAAAATAATATTGAATGTAAACTGTAGTTGAAAATTTTAAAAAAAGTTATTTGGGAATTTTCAGCTGCTCAGGGATCAGCATCCCTCTCAGCATTGTTTAAGGGTCAACTGTATAGTTGATTACAAAACCTATCAAACCACTCATATAGCAAGTGAATTTGCTTCAGGGGTTTGTTTGCTCTTGTTCTTGTCTATCCTTAGAAGCCATTGTCAGTTTCCTTTGGGTGTAGCAAAGCCCTTCATTTTCAGTAGCAAATGGGCTGACAGTGTTTCAGTAGTTGCTTTGCTAATCGGGGAAGGAACATCTTGAGTGATTTAATATTGGTCTTTTTCTTTCTCACCTTTCCTGAAAACCTGTATTACTCAGAAGAGCTGCATTCCTTACTGAGGCTGTCTGAGCTTTAAAAAGCTTCTTTTCTTTTTTTTCCTGTTCCAGGGAGCCTTTGCCTACATAGTGAATTATTTCATGTATGTCCTCTGGGCTCTCCTTTTTGCCTTCCTTGCCGTATCTCTTGTCAAGGTGTTTGCACCTTATGCCTGTGGCTCCGGAATCCCTGAGGTGAGTTTCTAAAATGGCTTATAAATGGTAACAATAATGAATCCTTTTTGGTTAAAACCCTTTAATATGTATTCCAGTACATACCACAATATGAATATTAAACAGGATCAGATCCTGAGGCAATCTAGGGCCTCTCTAGAGCCCTATGTCTGACCTATGTTTCCTCTCAGCCTGGGCTACCTTGACATTAAAAGGAGTTGGTTCCTAGCCTCCTGTGGGTCCCTGATGAGCCAGGCCCTGAAGACACTCCCCCACTGCCACCCAAGAAGCTCCCAGGGTAGATCTCAAGATTCTGGTCTGAAAATGTAGTGGTATTGTCAACTTTGTTAGAGCATAAGAAATAAAACTCTTTGGCTATATTTTCTACAATCTGAAATTGGGCTAGAAAAAGGGTGATTAAAACCCCATTTATAACTATTTTTGGTTTAGATTGCTTGACAGTGACGGAAACCACTGAGATTTAAGGCTACCCAGATGACCTTACCTCTCTGTTTCCTCATCAAGTTATAGTTACAAATTTTTCTGGTGGAGAATCAAGGCTATATTAGTCTATAAGGAAAATACCTTCCCTTTCCACCTCCCCTTCTCCATATACACACACTCTCATACTTACAATACTCCCTTGCCCAGCTATCTCATGGTCAAAAGAGGAAAAAGAAACAAGAAACATGAAAACTTAAAAAACAGTTCTCACTTTCTTGGGCTCCTGGGCTCCCTCCCAAACTGGGGTTACTGTAGGTCAAGCATTTATATGTCACTTGTTCAAAAGGTATAGTTTCTATAATGAGATCCAGATTATTGCTTCTTAGCCTGGTTTACTTGCTTAGTCTATTATCCGTTTTCTCTGTGTTTGACCTACAGATAAAAACTATCTTGAGTGGTTTTATTATTAGGGGCTATTTGGGTAAATGGACCCTGATTATCAAAACCATCACATTGGTGCTGGCAGTGTCTTCCGGCTTGAGCCTGGGCAAAGAGGGCCCCCTAGTGCACGTGGCTTGCTGCTGTGGGAACATCCTGTGCCATTGCTTCAACAAATACAGGAAGAATGAAGCCAAACGCAGAGAGGTAATAACAAAGGACCTTAACAGTCTCTCTCTCTCTCCCTCTCTCTCTCTCTCTCTCTGTCTCTCTCTCTGTCTCTCTGTCTCTCTGTCTCTCTCTCTCCCCTTTTGGTGAAAACATAAATGGTAATTCTTAGGGATGAAAATTTGAGGGTTCTACCAATGTTAATGCAAATGCCCTTTGACCCAGAAGTTCCACTTCTAAGAATTTATTCTATAGACATCCTAGCATGTGTGTGCCCAAAGATGTATAGGGATAGTTAGTTAGTGCAGCATTTGTCAACACAGTGAAAACTGAAACAATCACAATATGCATCAACGGGGGACTGATTGAATGAATAATCTTGTCTGTACTGTAGAATACTATGCAACTGTTAAAAAGACTGAAATAGCCTTTTATGTACTGACATGGAAGTATGGCTAGAAAACACTATTAGGTTTGAGAAACCAATTTCAGAATAATGTGTATAGTATAATTTAATTAACGTTTTTAAAAGGTGTGTGTATGTGCACCTAGAAAGAAAATGTCTGGAAAGTGGATTTACCCCAAACTGTTAAAAAAAAAGTCTACCTTTGGTGAATGAGAAAGTAAGGTGATAGTAAAGGCAAAGTAAAGTCTTAAACTCTTTTTATTATATATAATTTTATACAAGTGTGTGCTGTTTCTATTATAAAATAAGTTACAAAACAATAGAAGATTTTTAAAAGAAGTTGTCTATTCCTGTGAAAAAATACAAACTCAGCATGTGTTTCAGATGCCAGACTCTTCATGTTTTATTTCTACCTAACACCAAATGGGATTCAGTTCTGTGTCTTGGATCTTCCTCTGCCTTCTGTCTCAACCCGGCTAAATTAGTTCCACCACAGCATCTCTGTAGGAGTTCTTATGTTTAGGATTTTGAGGAGGGAGAACATTTAAAAAAAATGTTCCAAGCCATTCTTTACTTTTGTTCTGTTATAATTATAGATTTAAGAAAATAATGGTTCTTGCTTTATTTTTCTTGAATTACAAAGAAATCACATATGGAATGGGTCAAGACCAAGGCCATTCTATCAGAAAGGGTTTTTCACAAAATTTGAACCTAGTGGTTTATTTGGAAAACAAAGCAAAATTTAAGACCTAGAAGGAAACTCAAAGATGTTGAAACTTCAAATATGGACTATATTTTGACAGTTCAAGGGGGAAAGTTCCTGGCAGGAGAGGAAGGCTAATGAGAGAAAGAGAAAGAGAGAGAAATCGGAATAGATTGTTTAGTTACCTGTCAAATGGTAGAGGGATATAAAGGTAGTATTAAGTTGGTGAGGTTGTTATATGGAAATATTGTATAACACAAGCAAAAGAGTTGAAAAAACATTTGAACTGGCAAGAGTGAAATGTTGATTGCTGCTGAGTTTTGCATGGGTAGAGGTGACTTTGAAACTGTAGATTGCTTATTACTTTCATTCCATAAAATTGGCATTTTTTTGTTCAAATAATTTCTTATAAAATAAGAGGGCAGTTTCTCTGCACAGATGTCATATATTTCTCTAACTAGACTCATTAATATTTGAATCTTTAGTTGACTTCCTATTGCTTATTTAGACTTTCCAGTTATTTTTTACAGTTGATTGGCAGCAACCCTTTTGTGACACAGGGGCTCGTCAAAGTGGGCAGATGGGTGAATAAAATAAAGATTTAAGAAGTAAAGGCATAGACAGGCTCCACTCAACAACATAATTATAGCAAACAAGCCACCTCTTTTCTTCTCCCACATAATTCATCCTAAATAGTCACTAAAATCCCCTTTCTCAAGTTCCATGTTTACTGTCATTCTTCTCAGATGAAAGCCGTTATAGCCATACATTTTGAAGTCCTCCCCAGCTAGCACTGGAGACCTCACTCTTTCCTCCCCTTCATTTTCCTTGGCCATCCTATACTCCCAGAGAAACCTACCTACTTATTTTGCCAAGAACCATTTTATTATTGAAAAACTCAGGGGAGGGAGGTGGGAGGGGGTGGGAGGAGATTAACCAAAGAACATATATGCATATATACATAACCCATGGACACAGACAATCATGTGGTGAAGGCCTAGGGCGGGGCAAGGACTGGGTGAAAGGGGTTAAGAGAGGTAAAATGGGGGATATCTGTGGTACTGTCAACAATACAAAAATAAGTGAAAACACATCCACAAAAAAACCCTCTTAATTTTTTTCAATTTTCTCTTTGAAATACTTCCTTACTACCCCAAATCATATTAGCACTCTACAGCAACCAGAATCTAATTAAAGGACTTTATCCTGCCATTAATTATTGTTTGCCATGTTCCCCCCTCCCTCTTAGCCCTTTGTCTTGCCACACCTAAACATACTTAGGTCTTCTCTTCCCTTCAAAATCTATTCCCAAACTTGCTTCTACCTACCTCCCTATTTCTGCTTCCATAGATCACTAGACATGGAGTAGGGCACATAGTATAGGAAAATCTAGATATCTATTGTATGAATATTTGCAGTTCCTGAATAGCTGTGAGCTAACTGTGACTTTAGTTTTGTATCATTAGAGCCTTCCTTAAAATTTAATTTAAAAACCATTCCCTTTACAAAGAAAGTGCTGTGTAAGCACATCATTGTAAGTATTTCATTTAGGTGGTGAATAGGTCTACAGACTCAAATTCAGTTACTGAATTGTGAGTATTGGGGATAGAGGCATAATTTGGAATAAAGCACATGACTAAATTAATCACAAAGGAAAGACCCTGTATCTATTCAAGCATTTGAAATATGTGCTCAAAATCCAGTGTACAATGTTTGCTCTCAAAGTATAAATTGAACTTCATTTTTGATAAACTACATATGGAGCATGTAAAGTTTTAAAAAAATGTTTAGCAACTAAGATTCCTTTTAAAACTGTGATTGATGGTAGGAAAGTGGCATTATTCTATCACTAATTTTGAGTTTTGGATTGTAGGTCTTGTCGGCTGCAGCAGCAGCCGGTGTATCTGTTGCCTTTGGGGCACCTATTGGCGGAGTATTATTCAGCCTAGAAGAGGTAACTGCTTTTAACTGTCTATAGCACCTTTGTGTTGGAAATCCCAGCCAGTATCTATGTACATGGCAGTCCCAAAGTGCTTTGCATAACTCAGTGCTTTACCATGTGACCAGAGATTTCTGGTCAGTTTCATTCTCAGTTTTTAATTCCTGCAGCACCAAGTTTTTACCTGAAACAGTTTCTGCATATTGACTGAGTTTGTTTTTTCCCTTTCTCTTTTATAGGTCAGCTACTATTTTCCCCTCAAAACGCTGTGGCGTTCGTTCTTTGCTGCCTTGGTGGCAGCATTTACTCTACGCTCAATCAATCCATTTGGGAACAGCCGTCTGGTTCTATTTTACGTGGAGTTTCACACCCCATGGCATCTCTTTGAGCTTGTACCATTTATTCTGCTGGGCATATTTGGCGGTCTGTGGGGAGCTTTATTTATCCGCACAAACATTGCCTGGTGTCGGAAGCGTAAGACCACCCAGTTGGGCAAGTATCCTGTCGTAGAGGTACTTGTCGTGACAGCCATCACTGCCATCCTGGCTTTCCCCAATGAATACACCCGAATGAGCACAAGTGAGCTCATTTCTGAACTATTTAATGACTGTGGTCTTCTCGACTCCTCTAAGCTCTGTGATTATGAGAACCGTTTCAACACAAGCAAGGGGGGTGAACTGCCTGACAGACCTGCTGGTGCGGGAGTCTACAGTGCCATGTGGCAGCTGGCCTTGACACTCATAATGAAAATTGTTATTACTATATTCACCTTTGGCATGAAGGTGAGGAGATTCTTTTGGTACTTGGTGGATGTATGTGTGGCTGTGGTTTTGGAGGGCAAAGCTAATATATCACACAATCCTCATAGCTCACGTGGTGCTTCCAACTTCATACAATGTTATTCCTCAACCCCAAAAGCCCTTTTTACCCCTATATGCCCTCATAATTTCTTAGAAAATTGTACCTCTATCTAAAATTTCCCAAGCCTGGCCTTAGGCCAAATGCAAATCTCAGTGCTGAGATTTTAAGTGGAAATGTTGTCTCCTTTTTAGTTGAAAATTTTGTCCCTCAGAAAGTATGGTGAGGTATTTATTCCTGTGCATTGTGTATTAAAACAAAATCTGACCAACATAGTTTTGGTCCTTATAGGGTGGCTTTAGAGTTTATTGATAAAGTAAAAATATTAGGATGAACCAAAGTGGCCAATATTCAATTATTTTGACCACTAAAATAGCAATTTCGTATGGTTTAGCCCAATATATATATTTTTTACATTTAGTATCAATCTCCAATTATCAAGAACTTTATAGGTGATCCTAAATTAATTTTTAAACTGTCAAAAGGAGACATCAAGTCAGCACGTTTTACTTTTAGTACCCATCATTATTTCCATATTTTAGAAGAAAACAGAAAAGAAAATCTGTTAAGGTATTTTCCTCCTCCCTCCTGGTTTTTATTTGTGTCTTTTATTTAGCACCCCACTATCTCTAGGGAAGTAGAGATTTAAACCAGGGAATTAGAGACAGCAATTCAGTTTAGAGTACTGAAGTCTCTGAGATCATATTGTCCATCCTCCTCAACAACCTGGAAAGTTTTGCAGTGCTTCTCAAGTAATTTTCACCTGTGGCTTCATTCTTTTACTTAAAGTAGATTTTCAGACCATCAGACCCACCCAGATTCAAATGTATTCAAAAAAATCAAACACAAGCTATTCTGCTTTTATTATTCTTGTCATCATGTCCCTGTCTTAGCTCAGATAATTGAGAATTCACTATAGTATCCTAGGAGTCAAAAAAAAAAAAGAGTGGGAGACAGATGAGGGTTCCTTTTCTGGATAGTCACGGAACCATAGTCACGACCTGATTTAAATCATTTAATTGTATTTTTACAAAATAAACTGAAATCTCATCTGCCATTATTTTTGTGTGAGCAATGGGTTAAGATTCAACACATGAAAGTGGTTATGAGCATTGCATTTAAACCCCATCACCAGTATTTACTAAATCTTGGCCTTGGGTAAGTTACTTAACCTCTCTGAATCTTAGATTCTTTGTGATTTAAGAATAATAGCACCTACCTCCTGAAATCTTATCTTTAGAGCATCCAGAATAGAATATAGTAGATAGTCAATAAAGGATAATTGTTGCTGATAAGAATTCAAAATTGGGAAAAATGTCTGCATATATGAGAAACTCCATCTATTTTCCTTTTTCTTTGGGAAAGGCTTAATTTCTGCCTCCATTTCTGTGTTGGTCTGGAGATTTCAGGCTCTAGCCTGATGGACCCCGAAACAGGGTAAGCTTCTTTGCAGCTGTACTTGCCTGCACGTCCCAGAGAACCTTTAGTCCCTGTAGTATTATACAAATCTTTACAGCCACTTGCTAGCATAGTGCATAGCTACATTGTCATTGGCCTGTTTGCTTTGCAGAGGGTCAATCCTCTAGCCTTTATATGTACCAGGCAATAACATTATTTCTCACTAACCATCTATTACTTTCTCTTTTCAGGTCCCTTCTGGCCTCTTTATCCCTAGCATGGCTGTCGGTGCTATAGCCGGTCGACTTTTAGGAGTAGGAATGGAACAACTGGCTTATTACCACCATGACTGGGCCATCTTCAATAGCTGGTGTAGCCAAGGAGCTGATTGCATCACTCCTGGCCTTTATGCAATGGTTGGGGCTGCAGCCTGCTTAGGTGAGTAGTATTTGCATTGACTTCAAAATTGCTACCCTGGTGCCATAATAAAGAGTGATATTAAATACAATTAACTGCAGATTTTTTAAGTGACCATTTCCTGTTGGGTTTGCCATTTTTCAAGTATTTTAAGAAAGCATTCTTGCCCGGCCGGGTGTGGCTCAGCGGTTGAACATCAACCTAGGATCCAGGCGATCGGGGCTCGATTCCCGGTCAGGGCACATGCCCAGGTTGCGAGCTTGATCAATGACTCTCTCATCATTGATGTTTCTATCTCTCTCTCTCCCTCTCCTTTCCTCTCTCTGAAATCAATAAAGATATATTTTTTTTAAAAAAAGAAAGCATTCTTGGTTGTCCAAAATACAGGTATTTTTTCCCATAACACCCCACCCTGCATCTTTTCAGATATGTCAAGCCTATTCTCCATCCTGATCTTTGTATTTGCTGCCCCTTCTCCTAGGAATGCCCCTCTCCGAGTTGTAGCATAGTTGATTCCTTTCTGTCTTCAAATTTTCTGTTAAATGTTTTTCCTCAGTTGTTCTCTGACTGCTTTTATCTAAAGTAGGTTCCCCTATTGTCTATGATCACATACTCTTTTGTTAAATACTTAAAAAAACACTCTTTACCATATATCTACATTTCTTCCCTTTAAGAGTAATTCTATTCTCAAATTCCATCATACTGAGGAAATCATGAGAAATTTAGATAAAGATATCTGTACAAGAATGTTCATCATTGTAATATTTATAATAGCAAAAAGTTGGAATCAACCTAAATGTGCACAGTAAGGGACTGGTTAAATAAATTATGGTACATTTATGTAATATTATACTATGCAGACATTGAACGTGATGTTGACATTTAACATGTTTAAATACAGCGTTAAATAGATTTGTAATAATATACAAAGTGTTCCCAAGATAAAGTGTGTGTGTGGGGGAGCATGTGGGGAATTAAACATATAATATGAGCTTATGTATGTAAAAACATATTTTTGGATAGTAAACAACTTGAAAAAGTCATTTAAATTTTTTACTCTGCTTATTTCTAGGCAGTGGACTTACAGATAATGATTTTATTTACTTTTTTTTTCTTCTGAATTTTCCACAAAGGCCTGCACATCCCAGAGAACCTGTAGTCTCTGTAGTGTTGCACATATTATGGATATCTTCTGCAGTTACTTTTATAATGGGGGGGGCGGAGCAACAGACAAATAAAACAAAAAGAAGAATCAAGAAAGCATCTCATACTTTTGTAGATGCTATTTTGAGAACTCTGACTCATGTCCATTGTAAACTTCCTTTAATGTATTGCTGGGGTCTGTGGAGTTATCAATAAGACCTCCTTTTAGCAATGTTTCTGGTAAGTAAGCTTTTCCCGAGTGGGGCCTGTAGCAGGCCGATAGTTGTAATGAATCCTATACTTTTCCGCCTTCAATAGCCTGTGTCTGTTTCTTTGTAGGTGGGGTAACTCGGATGACTGTTTCTCTCGTTGTCATAATGTTTGAACTAACTGGCGGCTTGGAATACATTGTGCCTCTGATGGCTGCAGCAATGACAAGCAAGTGGGTGGCAGATGCTCTTGGGCGGGAGGGCATCTATGATGCCCACATTCGTCTCAATGGATACCCCTTTCTTGAAGCTAAAGAGGAGTTTGCTCATAAGACCCTGGCAATGGATGTGATGAAACCCCGGAGAAATGATCCTTTGTTGACTGCCCTTACTCAGGACAGTATGACCGTGGAAGATGTAGAGACCATAATCAGTGAAACCACTTACAGTGGCTTCCCAGTAGTGGTGTCCCGGGAGTCCCAAAGGCTTGTCGGTTTTGTCCTCCGAAGAGATCTCATTATTTCAATTGGTAAGGATTCCAGAAAAGGGATAATAGAATCCACTGTGGAAATAAATAAATATTCATGAAATGAGGGAAGATGGAAGGGAGAGGGGACTAGTTAGAAGCCAGAAATAGTACTTTAATTTTCAACATTTTCCCCCTACTTTTCAAATAGAAAATGCTCGTAAAAAACAGGATGGAGTTGTGAGCACGTCCATCATTTATTTCACTGAGCATTCTCCTCCAATGCCACCATACACTCCACCCACTCTAAAGCTTCGGAACATCCTGGATCTCAGCCCCTTCACTGTGACTGACCTTACCCCTATGGAGATCGTCGTAGATATCTTCCGCAAGCTGGGACTGAGGCAGTGCCTGGTTACGCACAATGGGTGAGAGATCTTTGGTGAAGTAGAATTAGGTTGTGGAAGAAAGACTATATATATAGAGAAAGAATAATGTAATTCACATGAACATTGGTAGCACTTATAGGCCTTTTTGAAGCTCTGAGATAAAGATGGATGTGTTTATTTTATCATCATAATTAATAGAAAAGAAGTGTGAGGAAGAAAGTGCGTTTGAGAGGTGGGAACCGCTGGTTGCACATTATAAATAACTCAGTTCCTCCCCACAAAGAAAGCAGCTGTGTTCTTATGAAATTATAAAGGTATTAAGTAGTATTTGTATACAATATGTTTGTTATTATCTGAGGATGAGAAAACCAAGTTTCAATGAGGTTGAAAGATTTACACTAGAGCTCCCAGTTAATATATAGTAGAGATAGGCTTTAAATATAAGTCTTCTGACTTCCAAGGCCAAGGCTCTTTCTGGGATATTTTTTTATCAAATAAAGGAAGCACTATGGTTTTTATTGGAAAAGAGGGAAAGTTGAGGGGAAAGGTGGATTTTTTTCTGAACATGGTATGTTAATCCAGCAATTACATAAGAATTTTACTCTCTAAAATTTTTAAATGGTATAACAGATGTCTTGCAGGATTTAAATAAGGAAGGGGACTTTTCCTAACTGATTCATTCAACATTTACTGAATCCCTACTTCATGTAAGAAAGCATTCCACTAGACCCTGGGGAGACACAAAAATGAATAAAACTCTTCTCTGCCCTCAAGAAGTATGCAGTGCTATAGGGAAGCTAAGAAAATACAAGTGCATATAGCACAACAGCAAAGAAGACAAGTACACAGAACATGTTTTTGCTGGGAGGAGGACACAGTTATTGCTGGCTTGTAGGATCAGGGAAGGTGGTCTGCAAGAGGGACATTTGAACTGGGTTGCAAAAGGTAAGTGAGATTCGTATATGTAGAGAAGAATATTTAAGCCAGAGGAGACAGCAGGATCTGAGACCCAAAGGTAGTAATGCTTGCAGTGTGTTCAGGGATCCGTGTATTGTTCCACAGGCCTGGTATCTGTATCCTAGTCCTGTTATTTCATCGTCTGTACGTGCAGATAGTGTTCAAAGTTGAAAAAGACTGAAGAAGAAAAGTGTCACCTTTGAGAATATTATTTTAACTACAGATTTGTTTTTGTTTTGTTGTCTTGTTTTGTCTTTTAGACGACTGCTTGGAATCATTACTAAGAAGGATGTGCTAAAGCATATAGCACAGATGGCGAACCAAGATCCTGATTCCATTCTCTTCAACTAGAATCACAGGGTTGTGCTAGATACAAAACAGAAAGGACATTGCAGACCGTGGATATATTTTATTAACTGGGTACCCAAAACACATTTCCCATATCTGGATGGTGAAGTTATAATAGTGTATTGTCTCTTTCCTACAAGTTAACCAGTTGCACTACATAATAATTTCTGGAAATTAATCTTCTCTTTAGGAGAAAACACAGGCTTCTGTGGTATTGCATTATGAAGATTTCATGAAAGAGTAAACAAGATTGCTATGGTTTAATTCTTTTTTCTTTTTTTTAAAGATTTTTTAAAAATTTAAAACATAATTTTTAGCCAATATGCAATCATTGAAAACTATGCAAGAAAAATTCTGACCATCCTAACTGATAGCCTGCAGGAAACTCATGAAAAAGTCACTTTTTTTTGGACTCTAACTATCATTGGTGGAAGATGAAGTGTAAACTAAGGGGCTTTGCTTTTCCAACCACAGAAAAGAAAGCCAGAAGGAAAATAGTAATGATATTTTCCAGACTGTGAAAATTCAGTTCAAATGTTAACTTGTTCCTGTTACAATATTTAGCATTATTAGTTTGTGTGTGTATGTGTATGTTAATTTTAATATCTGATTATAAGACAATGCTGCTTGGTTAATCTCCTCTAAATGAATTTAGAGAGGTTGATTTTTTAGCTTGCTTGTTCCTGGTACTCTTTTGAAGTGCACAAAGAAAAGTTATAGAGCTTTCTCCTTGTCTGCAAGAAGGGTAATTTTCCAGATGGTATTAGTTAGCTAGTAGACAAGGATTTTGCCATGAATTTGTTAATAGCAAGGAATGATTTCTCCAGATTAATGATTAGTGAAGTTCTAAGGAAAGTCAATGACTAGGAATTTTAAATTTTGTGAGGTTCCAACTCATCCTCTTACCCAGATGCCACCTCCATGAGTTATGGTGCTTTAGGCTTCTGGAATATGTAAGAATAATAAAGGGAACCAGACTGCATACTGGTAAACTAGGGAAGATTCTAAGCTGTATCTGCATTCTCATGCATTCCTTCATAAAGACCAATAGTACTAAAAGAACTGGACACCCATGCCTCCTCCCAGTGTTAAGTACGTAGAACAGGCCAGTGTTTTCCTGTGAACATGAATTTGGGCTTGGGGTACTTTCAAATATATTCAAGGCATTGGAACACAATAGGCAGCTGTGACTCCCTTGAGGCTTCTTAGAATTCTAAAAAAAAATGCAGAACCATCCTAAGACCCAGGGGTGTGGACGAGGCCTGGCGACACCAAAGGTGCTTGTATCCAATTGAAAAGGTGCCTGTCTGAATTTCCTATCACTTTAACTGCAGTAGAAAACATCACAGTCTAGGGACACCTGGTGGAATTACAGAGCCACCACCATCATTCCGACCACTGTTTCATTTTCTACAGTTTTACCTACATGCAGTTATTCCCTCCCCCATTCTTTGCCCCTTCCCACTCCTCAGTCCCGAGTTATTCATTCCTATTACAAAAATAACTCCCAGGGCTAGTTAAATTGTAAACCAAGCCTCAGTAATATTTTGGGACGTGGACCAGAGGTAACACACAGCCATTGGCTTTGTTCTGTAACCTAGTCACTGCTATCATGCCTCAATTTCCACACCAATGCCCACAGCAGTGAGACTTAACTGCCAAGGGTGAAAGTTCAGCCTTTCCCACTCTACAAGTCTGTTCCCAGCACTTCTCTCCATCCTTCCAGCCTGGAATCAGCAGTCACTCAGCATATCCTTCCCAGCCCTCCACCTGCCCTCCCCAAATACTTCATACCTCATTTTAAAAGCTGCTGATCCCAGATTCTAGGATTTTTTTTAACCCTTAGTTCTTATCTTTCCCAAATCTGAAATTATGTTATTGCCCAGAACTAGGTAGTCAAGGCTTATTTTGACTTTTATCTTTAAAATGTCAAAGCAGTCACCAGAGTTTCTTATTTTAAGTATATCACTCTAGCATTTTAATGAAAAAAACAACAACTCTAGGATATATTTTATGATAGTCATGACTCAGTAACTTTATATCTTTTGTCCCTTCCACGCCACTGATTCCCTCGCATGAGATGTGGCTATTTTGCCTGACCACCCCTGTATATTGTGTAGAAGTCAAAGTTCTTATCTGTATATTTCTGATTCACTACCTATCTTATTAGCTACCCAACTAAAGTTTGCAAACAGGAAATGTTAGTATTTCTGGTATTTGATGACAATGAAAGGTTTGGTTGCATTTCATAGTGCAGCAATCATATGGAGGGGTGTCTAAGTTTGCCTTTGCATTTCTTCTAGGCTCTGTTTTTAATTTTAGACAGATGAGCCAGTGTTAAGGTGCTACTTCAGAGACTAAATTCAAGACATCAGATAACACTGTGCCAAGGTAAACTTTCTAAATGCTAAGAACGGATTGGCCCTCCAGAGAATAATATCCCTTTGATACCTCACCCTGATAAATCTCATCCATTAACCTCAGCTTCTCAGGAATCCTCGTAACTCATATGCTAGAAATAGCTGTAGTGTATAATATCCATTATGTATCTAATCCTATGGTTTGGCTCACAGGTTGGTTAATTGTGGCTAGAGCTCCCTGCTAGACTGCTAACGCAGCACCTCCACACTCAGAGTTTCTTGTCTTGAGACAAACGAAAATGTTCTTTCTGACATTGCTAATTTAGCAGTTGGACATACTTAACCAACAAACAAAGCTGAATTAGGGAGAATCTGTCAGTAGCCTCAAATGGCCACAGACCTCAATGGCAAAGACTACATATTCTGTGATTAAAAATGAATATGAGTTGAAACTAGTCTATTTTGATATTTAAAAAAGAAAATTGCCTGACACACGGGAAGAATTTACAAAAGAATGTCAATAAGTACTTTAGGATTTTCCAAGGAATAATATCTGGTAGACATCCAGTCATGAAAGGAGTGAGAGTCTATAGATTTGTAAAAGTCTGCTATATTTTGTATCTTGAGATCTTCAATGTAAAAAGTTAAAGAAGCCCAACCAGTTAATGGATGATTAGTTATACCATTGGACGGAAGAAGTAGGGAACTGCAAATGCAAAATAATGGCCACTTTTAAGATCATTTATATTTAGAAGTTTGTTCAGATGCTCTGCTCTTTTCTGGCTCCAGCATCCTTCTGGCTCAGCCCAACTGTGGAGCAGAGGTGGTATAGTTCATAGAACAGATATCCTCTGGTGAATAATCTGACATTGACAATACTTTGGATTTGCCAATTGGCAGAGCAAATGATTAATTTGCTGATTTAACTGTAAAGCACTTCAATTGTTTTGGCACCAAAGCTAAATCTGAAAGCTTTACAGGAAGAGCAGAGCACAGTATAAATTTCTCTGGCCAGCCTTCAATTGTATTTAAACATCAGAATGATAAAGTAATGGAGACTTAGTGTGATCTAAGGCTGTGAAATAATTCTCAATAATGTGATGAACCTGTTCAGGTGTGTGGGTGAGCAAATATGTTTTTAAAAACTTGGCATGCAATAGAGCCCATCATGAAACATAATTGTTGCTCTATGTTTTAAGTATTTAAATCACTCATCACAGTTGGGTCTTAATATTGGTTTGTTGTTTTGGGGGGGTGATGAGAAGGAAAGTGTACTTGTTACCCCACAGTATCTTTAAAAAAAAAAAAATCATAAGGAGTGCAATTTTTGAAGCTGAGTTTTTTAATGATTGTGAAAACAATACAGAGAATTTGAAACAGCCAGTGTGTTTTATATTGCCAAAGTACTTACTGATGACTGACCACATTATACTGTGAAGAATTGATTTATCTGCATTGGATCAGAGCCAAATATAGGCAATCCATCAGTTCAGAGAAAGCAGGAGAGCATCTTTCATGGTAGTGCGTAGAGTATCGAGCTCTTGAAAACCGTGAGAAAAGTTAGGAATTTAGAAAGTAAATGGGAGGTAGAATATTGAGTCTTTTAAAAAATAAATGTCAATATATGTGCTCTGAACTTAAGCATCCTAAAACCTTGACTTTTCTTTAACCACCTCTGGGATGCCTAGATTCCCTTTAGAGAGGGAATGGAGAGTCATGGCAGTGGAAAAGCCCTGGTAAGAAAACATATGAGTTTATGTAAGATGGTGGAAGGAAGGCCAGCCACACATCTTCGCATTTAAAAACTGCTTGATCATGTGCCTCAAGGGAAGGAAAAGTGAAATAGTCTCCCAAAGACCAGCATTTAGAGTGAGTCTAATTTTATGGAAAGGGCTGACATAAGACAAGACATCTGCTCATGAAGGTGGGAAGCCACTACTGCCATTGCCTAAATGATATGCTTTAGGGAGATTGTCTTGAATTTTTACAGCAAAATATTTTAAAATCTATATTTTTAGCCTCCCCAGTATGTACTTATTGTATATTAGAAAGAAAAGGTGAGGGTTTCTCAGATCAAAGCTCAAGGAGCTGTGTAAATTTGATGTGAAATAAGTGTAGTGTTCCTGTGATGACCACAGGGCTTTTGCTCTGCTTCAATTTCAGTTGTTTGCTCCAAGGAGAGAAGTTCTTGGAATAGTAGGTGTTAGCAAATTCAGGTTATTTCCCAAACGTTTGCTGGCCCCAGTCTCATTTCTAAATATCTGGACCTGGGCAAAGTTTTCAAGTGATGTAGGGAACAGAATTGGTTTTTCCACTTTGTAATCTGGTTTTGCCAAATCACCTAAGAAAGAAAGAATTTGATGTGTGGAGTTTGCGTGTCTTGCATGGGGCCTATTGAGTCACCCAGCCCAATCCCACAGTCATAAATTCCTACCTCTAAGTTCCTGCCAAAGGGTCTTCAGCCTCTGTTTGCACACTCATTGAATAAATGCCTTGGTTAAAGAAAGGCACATGATAGTATAAAATTATGAGGGTTTAAAAAAATGATCTCTGCCTTTCTTTTTTTCACCGTCTATCCCACTTTGTCTCCCTCTCTTTTTTCCCTTCTCTCTCTCTCTTTCTCTCCCGCCTCCTCTAAGTTCAAAATTTTCTCAGTTGTTACAGGCATATTGTTTCAAATGTGGGCCTTGGAGAAAAGAGAGGATCATTCTGAACTTAGAGAATGGAAGATAATTCTGAATTGATGGGGCCAAAGGAACTTTGCTCCACTGTAGGGGCAAAAGCCAGTGGTATTTATTGGGAGTGTCAAGGGCTTTAGCATCCTGAAGGCAGATATATGAAGTATTCATTGCCAAACCTTATTATTATGTACTAGTAGAAATCTATTGAAAGTCAGAGGCAGTCTAGGATTTGGTAAGTGAAATGCCATCTGGCAAAATGGGGATGGTTTTATCAGGGCAGGAATCTTCAGCCTCATTATCATATTGAGTGTACCTTAAAATATATGGGCATTCAAGAGTGTTCCTTTTCCCGCCTCCATTTTACTTTATCCCTTCTCCCTCCTTTCTCTCCTATTGTCCTGCCTTTTTACTAAGCTTTTTAATAAGTATTTACTTTTTTATTATATATTTGGTCCTTTGGGACTATGTAATGATTAAGAATTAATTTCATTCTAGATAAAAAAATTATGTGTTTAATATTTTGTTCTTTTAAACTGTCTTTTGAAGCTATGCTGCTAACCAGGTACAGGCCAGAAAGGAGTTGAGCCTGACAGACAGCACCCAGGTCATATCACTTAAGGATGACATTGATGTCATGATGGTGACTCTTCTTCATTTGACCAAGGCCAGCATCCTGCTCTTACCTCTGTCCATTCATTTGTGGCTATGGGAGAGATACCATCCTTTGGGAAAGCCAATGAGGCAAGGAGGATCAGAGGGTTCTAGCCCACGGGCCACTGTTTGAATATTTGTAATAAGCTCATTCGTAGGGCTGGCTCCAGTTACGGTAGCCAAAGAAAACCTGTCTGACTCAACATTTTAGTTCATAAGAGCTGGTAGAAGTTTAACTGAAGCTAATGTATAGACATCAACTAGGCATCCAGAAATTAGCATCAACCAAAGCTAAGTTTCCACAGGAAGCTTGGTACTGAGCTGTTCAGAGCGTATATTTATCTGAATGTTGCCTACCCTATAGTCACACTGTCTTAGCTTTATTCTAACTTTTAGAGATGTTGGTCCCTGTTCATAGGTACAGCCTGTACCAAAGCTGTGAGTCACTGCTCACTTCATTCTGCTCCTTGGTCATGCATAGCAACAGCCTAAAAAGGAAGACATGGGCTGGGGAGTTATCTATTCCCTATGCTTCTACTAACTAGCCTTGAGATCTTAACCATTCTGTGCCTCAGTGTTCCCATCTGAAAAATGGGGATAGTGTTAATTGCCCTACCTACCTCACAGGGTTGTTGTGAGGATAAATTGAGACAATGAATGGAAAGTACTTTGATAAGTGCTATGCAAATTGTATGAAATGTAAACAATCATGTTAAAGGTAGTGGAATGGACATTGGCAGAAGGGTTAATGGGATTGTCTAGTCCTTTCTCTGTGTGGCTTAAACCCAGGTCGCCATTGCTTTATGCATTTCCACTTAGCACAGATTTTTAATTATGCATGTAATAAAACACAGCCTTACCCAACCTGGTGTCTGGTGTGTTTTTGAAGACTCTCAATTTTGTACCTACTGATTTCTAATAATAAAATTGGGGGGTAGTGTACTGGGGTTGGGGGAAGATAGTGTAAATAGCAATTGCAAACTCCTACTAGCAAGCTCACTTCTTAAAAAAGATTTATTAATTACTTAATTATTTTTACATTTATAGATTCAGTAATGCTTTTTACCATAAAGAGACAAATGAAGGGCAGCTTACGTCTTCTGAGAGATTTCAGATACCTCATTCATTATGACTACTTAAATAGTCCTGCCTCATACATTGGTTATACTTTCCTAATGGCATGAGAATTAACTGGGAGCTGTGATTTTTCTCTCTTTTTTGTGTTTTTAATGATGTAAGATTATGGACTTTGATAGGGCTCTTGCCTACATACTGTCATTTTTTACAAGGAGTAGGGTGGGTGATTGAAATGTTCCTCAATGAAGAGTAGGGTTAGTATGACCCTCTAAGATGTGTTGGGAACCCTCTGAAGTGACCAAGGAAGGAATTTTTCAGGGAGATAGTTGAATATGCAAACATTTCCTTTTCACACCTCTAGAAAACAGAAAACAAAAGAAAGCTATACAGCAGGTCCTCGAATAACTAACTACCTTGTTCAACATCTTTTGGTTATAACACTGATGAGATGCTTAACACTAGTTTATATCAATTAGCCTGTGGTAAAATTGGTTTTGTTATACATCATTTCACTTAAAGTTGCAGAACCTATCAACGACATTGAGAACTTACTATACTTTGAAGTATGGCTTTCCTACTTTCTCACTCTATTTTTCCTGCATCTGATTTGTCCTCCCTACTCCTTTCCTCTCCTTGTTAGCCAGACCACTAGTAAGGCAGTTTGCTATTTGTGCATGTTTTCATTTAAGAATTCCTTTTGTTTACATTTGATCGCATCTGTACTGGTGTTGGCTTTTTATCGTGTTGCTACCAAGAACTTTAATGTCTTTAGCTTACTTTGTATCATTTCAGGAAGAACACCTCTATGTAAAAATAACTCATACGCTTAGAATTCCACAAAGAAATTTCAGTTTTTTATATTATTTATCATTTTCCTGCACTCCTTCCACACTATCACCATTTCAGCCTCTAATATAAATACCTTTTGAGACAAAAAAAAAATACATCTAGCTGTTACTAGCTATCAGTAACTTGCTACAAATTATAGTGTTGTGTCTAGTCACTGTAGGGCTTAGATAAAAATGGCTTTGATGAGTATGAGGTACACACCAATTCATCATCTGATACAGGAGCTGCCCAGAGAAAAACCTGGAAATGACCACCAGATGTCAGTGCAATCATTGAAATACTAATCTAGCTAAGGGTTGGGTTGAAGAGAACTGTGTCTGAAGGTAGGCAGGGCAAGAAGCATTAATTCATAGGTACAGCTAGATGCTGGGAATACAAAATTCAATCCCAAGTTATTTCTTAGTTTATCGACATTCTGTTTTTAATGTATATAATAAAATTCAATGCTTTTCTTATTTAAAAATTGTCAATCACTTAACAGTCCCTGCCTTTAAGGAGCTTATTATCTTGGTGTCTGAAAGTTGTAGTTTCTTTTTCAAAGCAATGTCCCAGATAAAACCAATGAGGAGCCCTGGCCAGTTTTTCTCAGTGGTTAGAGCCTTGGTCCATGGACTGAAGGGTCCCAGGTTCAGTTCCAGCCAAGGGCATGTATCTTGGTTTCAGGTTCAATCCTCAGCCCCAGTAGTGGTGCCTGCAGGAAGCAACCAATTAATGTGTCTCTCTCACATCGATGTTTCTCTCTCTCTCTCCCCCTCCTCTCTCTCTTCCATTCTCTCTGAAAAGCAATGGGAAAAATATCCTTGGGTGAGGATAAAATAAAATAAAAACCAATGAGGGAAGAAGGACTATAGTTCCTCCCTCATTAGGATGGCCACATAATTTTTTTGTATGACTAGGACTCTTTCGACAGTGGGATGGTGGTATTAATAATTGCCCTGGGACAACAGGTGCAAAACTGGGACTATTCCAGGTGTCTTAGTAAATTCAAACTGCTATAACAAATTATCAAAGACTGAGTGGTTGAGGAGGTTCATTTCTTATATATTGTCCACAGCTAGTGTTTCTAAATAGACATTTTAGGGTCTTGATTCAGGAGGCTGCAGATAGAACAGAAGACAGAAAAGGAAAAGTATAGGATTTGGAGCCAGAGGACCTGGATTCAAGGCTTACTTTAAAGGAATTGCTACCTTTATTGATCAGACATAACTCAGAATTTCTAATATTGGCCTTGGAGGATGAGTTTCCTTTCAAAAAGGGGCTTCTGGACCTCACAGTATGGCTTTGTGTTCCATAAGATTCTCCTTACCGTTGAGGCAATTTTTCTGGTTACTTCACTGGCCTCGGGGTGTGGTGAAGATCAATTCTTTTTAATATGCTGGCCTGAGTGTGTGTATCGCACAAACTGAGGTGGAGGTAGGAGTTTTAACCTAAAAGCTCAAGGAAAATAAAGGGAGTCAATATGATGTGCAGTGACCTCATCTGGCTGATCCTGACTGGGCATCAGAATCACCTGAAATGGGTATTAAAATATAGATTCCTGGAGGTTTGGTGCCAGATTTTAGACTAGTATTTGGAAAACCATACAGGGGTATTTCAGGCTTCATCCCACCCTCAAGCCTTATCAGCCTCCTGTTTGGTGGACTCCATCTTAGCACTGCCTAGGAAAACTCATTGTTCCACTTGTTCACTCTTATATCCCAATTACCAGATACAGGACTCAACACAGAGCAGGACCTCCAAAAATACATTACTGGCAGAATGATTGCCTATATAAAGCTTGACACCTTAGTTCCTATTTCCTGCCTGAAGATATGTCTGTTACCTAGATGTATATACCTTTCAGGGGCACCACATGTACCCACCCATGACCAGATCTTATATTTTATTTTACAAGTCACAACCTGTTAATCACCATCTCATACAAACCTTTGTAGGTGACCAAAGGCATGTTTTTTTAACCTCTGCTACTTATCCGCCATGTGATTTTAGGTACATGATTTGACTTTCTGAACCTCAGTCACCTCATCGCTAAGGAAGGAATGACATAAAACCTGCCTCATTGACTGTTGAAAAGAATTGAAACTGGGTGTGAAAACTGCGCTTTACAAATGGCTATCTAAATATCATTCTTATTCAATTGGTCCTGAGGGATAAAGTAGATAATGTATGAGAATAGTCAATTCACTCAACCAATGTTTATTGAGCACAACTTGGCAGTAAGGATTCAATGAAAGGAAAACACAGACCCATTCCCTAGATGAAAGTCCAAAAACACAATCAATTCAGAATGGCATAAGCCAGCAGTCTATTCTAGTGGAAGAGTTATTTTCCTTTCCTGAATATTAGCAGAATCTTGGTAACTCCCCTCCTACAAAAATGTATTCCGATTATTTCTGCCTCCAAGGCTCTGACAAATATCACTAAATCAGGGCATCCCAGGCACACTCAAACCAGTCT